TTTTTCTTTTTTTTTTCCATAGTAAATTTTTGTAGATTCATTCTGATGGTCCGCTCCCAGGAAATCTCTGCCACTTCATATCCTATGGCCATCTACGGTTTCGCATTCGCACTGCCTCCTTTTCATAAATCTAATCCCCATTCACTTCCTCCATATAGCTCCCTTACCTAATGACTTTCTGGCAAACTATTTTCCTCTCTCCGATTAACCTTCGTCCAGTGTCCTATGAAAGCCTTGAGCTCAAAGCCATTTTCTTCTTCTCTCACCTGCTCTTCAAGTTATTCCATGCTTCTATCCCTGCGGGAAAGTAAAGATTTCTCGATTTGTCTAAATTCTGGTGATGTTTTCCATCTCGCTTTGATGATGAGTTGCCATTTTGAACGATGGAAATTTCGCTTGATTCCTTGATCTTGTTTTGCATTGTCTGCAGGTAATAGGAATAGTAGATGGTGACTGTAGTTTCCTTGTTTTAGTGGTCTCCTTGAGTTTTCTAGAAAAGAAAAGAATTTTATCAACCCGATTTGCACAATGTGAATTTTGGTTCCACTTGTAATTGTGACACACGCTTCTTTTGGTAAATTCATATTCATTGAGTTCTGAAGATGAAGTAAACCTGCACAAATTTAGTACTCCAAAGAGATAGTTTGCCTGAAATAATAGAGACGATGGAAATGGTTGTAGAGCTCCTTTCCTTCTTTGTTAATTTTCCCTCTCCCATGCAGCGGAAAAAGATGCACAAAGTGAGCCTCATTCCTGTATCTGTTTCTTTTTCAATCTATGACGCCAAAATAGTCTTTTTATAATTGTAATATTTTGCCCTCAATTTCCTGGAGACGTAAGAACAATTTGACGATTTTCAGGGACGTTAGATGAATAACTTCTGTTCCTTAAGACCTGCAGGTAATTTTTCCTAAATTATTTTTTGAGTAACATTCAATATTCTAAAGAAACTTTTTTATGCATGCGACTTTCTGGAAGATTTTTCACTTGCGCTCCATATCCTAAGTTGAGGATGCACATTGCTTAAAAAAAATATTTTAGGATATTAAATGTACTAACAACTAATTTAACACATTGTGTGCTACTAAAAAAATATTTTACAGGCTTGTGAATAATCAGTAATTTTTATTATGGTAAGCCAAAGTGTATAAATTGCATTACACATATTTATGAACTAATAAGATTGAAAATTGAGAAACTTCCATTTAAATTTTATTAGGTTAAAATAAGTAATTTTTTATTAGCTCCCTCTGATTCTCTTCTAAGCAGGTATCATTAACAAAGCCCAAACACACAAATAAAGACCCAAATCAGGTGGCTGCCATGCGAATCAGTAAATTACCTTCAAACAGTGATATTTTCATGAAAGATTTCTAGAAATCTCATTCAGAAGGTATGATGGATTGAAGGGCCGCGCAAGAGCCTAGAGGAGCTCGACTAGGCGAGAATTAATGTCTTTTTATTTAAGTATTATTTTTATTATAAAATAAAATTAATTGTAAACATTTTTATATATTTATATTTAATCATATTATTTTAATAATGGCAGGTCCAGTTGTAATTGCACTATTGCCTCGACCGATTGAATGATGAATCCAATTTTCAATAAAATGTTATCCCTGGGTAAAATTACATCCCGATTTCTATTTCTTAAGTCATTTTCCCTGAAAATAAATTCCAACATGATATATATATTCAACTAAATTTGTACATAGTAGCTAATAATCGTATGGATTATAATTCTGAAAATATATCTGTTTAATCAATGTAAAATCCCCTTCTCATAGACAGAAAAAATATAAAGTTACTTATAATTTTAAGATTTCCTGCTTGTGCAAATTAGTCGATCGATGCTCCCCATCCAGGAGTATATATAGTTTGAATGAGAGATTATGTTTGTATAAAGATTAGTTTATTTCAGGTAATTTTACACTGAATAATGTAAATATTTGGGGGGGAAAACTGGTTTCACAAAGTATAAAAGATTCCAAACTAATCCGGATTAGTTTGGGGACGTTATCACGGCTGAAAAACGCCTATTTTCCTGAGATACCGGATGGAGTAATCCAAAAAAGTATAAAAGATCCCCCCCGCCCCCCGCCCCCCAAGCTAAGGTGAGCAAGGAAGTCCATGTCGTCATCACATCATTGAGATTCAGAAGTCTACCGAAGATAAGCATAAAATCAAAAGGGCGGCCCACACCTTGGAAAAATTATTCAAGTCACGTGCAGTTTCGTTGTGTTTTCCATCTTTTTTTCGTCTCATTTTAAAATATAAATTATCTTTTTATTACATAATATAAATGAACAAAAGGAAAATTAAATGCCAACACATGCTAAAAAAATCTAGACCTATTCAAAATGCTCGTAGTATCAGCTGCGAGACATTACAGATTTCAAGAAGGATATCGAGATTTTAATGGAAATAACTTAGTATAATCTTGTATAGTAAAACATTTTTAAGGGATCAATACAAATTCGGCGAAGTGGCTTTTCACTCAACAAGTTAAAATATTAGCGTATAGAAATAGTATTTTCTCTTACAGGGAAGGATACCCATCAATTTAAATAAAATTTAAAGAAAACAAGGAACACTGTTTTATGCAACTTCTGATTAGTTCAAATTATCAAAGACTGTTTTCAGTAATTTTTCAAAAGTTGATGGATATGAGACCATGACGTATCAGCATGAGAGGGAAGAGGTGACAGTCATGAACATAACACATGACCGTAATCAATAATAGTTACCAAGTGATATTTTAAAATTATAAAATAAAAAAATTTAATAACAGATTAGTGGCGAAAATTTTCGTCACCAATTTGTAACGGAATTTTCTATCACAAATCCGTCACTATTTTGTGACAGAATTTTTACGAAATATCCGTCACTAATTAATAACGGAAATTAATGACGAGAAATTTCTGTCACTAGTTTCAATCGCTAGCCTGTTAGTAATTAGTGATGAAATTTTAAATTCTGTCACTAACTATTTAGTGAAAGTGAAATTAGTGACACAAATTCCGTCGCTAACTAAATTTTATTACTAATATATTACTAATTTTGATTAATGATAGAAATTTCGTTATTATATTCCGTCGCTAATTTATTATTATTATTTTTACAGTGATTTAGTTATAACATACTGCCGGATGATATTTACAAATCATGCTTTTTGTATTGTGCCTTATTCCCTGAGTGTTATAGCTTCATCAGCGAACAGTAACGAAACATAGCGACAGAATAATATTTGGTCAGTAACAAGATGTTGTTTTTTTTTTTTTTTAATTGTGTGATGTGCCACTTCTATTCAAAACCATACCCTTTTTGTGTAAAATATTTGAGCTTTTTCAAGATAACATTCAACAATCTAAATTTTTTTTCAACAAAACCTGGTATGTTAAAATAATCTTTTGTGCACTCATCATAGAAAAATATTTTTTTAATAACAGCTAGTATCTAGCAAGTTACGCGTTGAAGTATATGTTGGTATAAAGATTATTTTATTTCAAGTAATTTTATACCCTCTAATGTAAATACTTGAGGAGTACGGGCCAAAAAACCCAAAAAAACAAAACCGGGTTCACAAAGTATAAAAGAATTTTTCTTCTTAACTAAGGTGACCGCTGAGGTCCATTTCATTATCACATTATTGATATTGAAAAGTCTACTAAAGATAAGCATGAAATCAATAGTGGATTATAATGGAAACAAGTCTGGCGACGCCTGTTCCTATAAAGGCTCCAAAAAAAACTCAGCTTTGCGGGCACAAGAGAAAAAGTTAGGGGTCCACACCTTTGAAAAATTATATTTGAGTCACATGCAGTTTTGTTGTCGTCTCCTTGTCCTAGAAAAGTTGATACTGATGAGTTACGGGTTGCTTTGCAGAGGCCTTGCAATTTGTGGGTTCCACATGTTGTTTTCCATCTTTTGTTTTTTTTTTTTTTTTGGGTCCTTTCTAGCAACTTGTTCTGTCTGTTTTCCCCATCTTTTCGGTCTCTTCCACCTTTTTGATTACATAATATAGAGAAACAAAAGGAAAATTAAATGCCAAAATATGCTTCAAAAATCTAAAATCTATTAATGCTAGTGGTGTCAACTGCAGGACATCACGGATTTGAAGAAGGATAACGAGATTTTTATGGAAATAACCTAGTAAAATCCTGTCGAGTAAAACATTTTTAAGGGATCAATACAAATTCCACGAAGTGGTTTTTCACTCAATAAATTAAAATATTAGCATATAGAAATATTATTTTCTCTTACAAGGAAGGATACCCATCAATTTAAGTAAAATTTCTGCGGAGGATTCCTGTGTGACAACAATGACCAATGGATTCGTGGATTTAGCTGCAAGTTGACAACAGTTCCCCCTCCGATTGCTGAACTAATAGGATTTATCCATGGTCTCAGTATTTGCTGGACTAAAAAATATAGGAAAATTTTCCTCTTTTCTGATTGTATAACTGCTGTTAATTTTGCTATTAGAGGCTGTGACATTGATCATCCTTTCAAAGATGTTATAGATAATGTTAGACTTTTATTGAATAGGGATTGGCAGGTCATAATCTCTCATGTTTACAGAGAGAATATGGTCATGGGTGATAGGCTAGCAAAGTTCTTGCATAGGATAGAAGGAAATTTTTCGCTCTTTGATTACCCTTCCCCTCTTAATCAGTAGGTGGAGGTTGGTAAAGGATATGATTGTTGGCAGTCTTATGTTCTCTGATTTTTTTTTCCCAGTTAGTTATATAGTTCTTATTCCAAAAAAAGAAATTAAAAGAAAACAAGGAACGCCGTTTTATGCACGTTCCGAGTAATTCAAATTATTAAAAACTGTTTTCAGTAATTTCTCAAAAGTTGGGTTGGGTCATCCACTTCAATAATTGTCCTCCAAGCTCTCTCCAACTGATAGCCAAACATTGCTATTCGCCGTTCATTGCATCTCTGCCTTCTTCTCAATTTCTATATCCACTACTTCTTTGGTGCATCTAAACCAAACCATGGCCGAATTTATTACTCCAGTCATTGACGTCCTAACTCGTTTGTGCGGTTGTTGCGCCAAATGGGCAGATCCAATATGCAATCTAGGAGACAACCTCATCTCTTTGAGAAATGCTTCTAACCAACTCAATGACATGTATCTTGATGTCAAGATGAAGGTCGCAACGGCAGAGAAGGTTCCAGATCCAGAGCTGACGGTTTTGAATCAAGTAAGGGGTTGGATGGGCAGAGTAGAAGTCCTACAAAATGATGTCCAGGCCATTCTACAGCAAGGTGATCAAGAAATACAATCCAAGTGTTTTGGAGAGTGTTGTCCCAAGAATTGTTGGGCTAGCTACAAGCTACACGAGGACGTTACCCAGAAGCTGAGTGATGTTGATGATCTTATAAGCAATGGGCATTTTGATGTTGTCGCAGAAAAGTTTGCTCGTGATCAGTTTGACGAACTTCCTGTGGACAAGGCGGTGGGTATAGAATCAACATTTGAGGAGCTACGTTCATGCTTTGAGAACAACCGAGTGGGCATCGTTGGTTTGTATGGGATGGGTGGGGTAGGCAAAACAACTCTACTGAAGAAGTTCAACAATGATTGCCTCTCAACAATGCCACAATATGCAGTCATCTGGGTTGAGGCATCTAAAGATGTAGATCCAGGAAAAATACAAGAAGACATTAGGAAGAAATTACGCATCGGAGATGATATTTGGAATAACAAGACAGGGGATGACAGAGCTCGTTTGTTATACAATATCTTGAAGAATAAGAAATTTGTGTTGTTAGTAGATGATGTGTGGGAAAGGATTGACTTGTTGAAATTAGGGGTTCCTTCTCCTAAAAATCTTGAATGTAAGATAATATTCACAACTCGGTCACAAGAGATATGCGGCCAAATGGATGCACAGAGAAGCATAAAAGTAAAGTGCCTCACGTTTGAGTGTTTGACAAAGCATTTGAGTTGTTCAAGGAGAAAATGGATGAAAAGACTCTTGAAAACCCTCATATATTGACTCTTGCAAAGCAAGTAGTGAAAGAATGTCAAGGCCTACCACTTGCTCTTTGTACCGTTGGACGTGCCATGGCTAACAAGGTGACTCCCAATGAATGGAAGCGTGCTATAGAAATTTTGAGGAGTTATCCATCAAAAGTCCAAGGTATTGTTAATGATGTGTATTACTTGCTTGAATTTAGTTATGACAGACTGCCGGATGATACTTACAAATCATGTTTTCTGTATTGTGCCTTATTCCCTGAGGATTACAACTTTAAAAAACAAGAGCTTATTTTGCTCTGGATAGCAGAAGGTTTTCTGGCTAAATTTGATTATAATATACATGAAGCACGTAAGCAAGGAGAAGATATAATTTTGAGTCTAAAAGATGCTTGCTTATTGGAAAATGGTGTGGAAGAAGATACATTTAAGATGCATGATGTCATAAGAGATATGGCTCTTTGGGTAGCTTGTGATCATGGGGAAAACGCAAAATTCTTTGCAGGAGATGGTTTTGGGACTAGTGGCCTTGAAGGGTGCAATCATGCAAAGTGGAAAGAGGTAGAGAAGCTGTCAATGTGGGGTAGGGGTGAAGTGAGTACAAACTTCTCACGAAAACCTCATTGTCCTAATCTCGTTACTCTGCTTATTAGGAATACTACGATACAAGTCTTTCCAACTGAGCTTATTAGGAATACTACGATACAAGTCTTTCCAACTGAGGTATTTGTCCTTCCAAGTACTCTCAGAGTTCTAGACTTGTCATCTAGTTATGGAATAAGAGATCTACCATCAGAAATTGGGGACTTTGTAAACCTCGAACACATGAACCTATCCAATACTCATATAAGGAAATTGCTAGAGGAGTTGAAGAATTTGAAGAAGCTGAGGTTCTTGTTGCTGGACGGACATGGAGACCTTGAATTCCCAGAAAAAGTTATATCCTGTTTGTTAGCCCTTCAAGCTTTTAGCGCGATATGGAAGCAAGTTCGAGGGATTGATGAAAATGTGTTGTTGGATGAGCTAGAAGGCTTAGAGCATCTTCAAGATATGCGCATATCTGTCTTTAGCAAATCCTCTATTGGAAAAATAGTGATCTCCTCAAAATTGCAAAGGTGCATGTGTAAGTTATTTGTTAAAGGAGTAAGCTCACCACTCCATGACTTCTTCTCATCACTTGGAAAGATGGAGCATCTCGAAACATTAGATCTTAGGGATTCCAGAGCTGGGGATATTCCGAGGTGCTCATTTTGGGGGCATGATTATATAATCACCCTTCGAGAGTTGGTTCTCTATCGGTGCGGTAATATAGTTGACTTGAATTGGCTTATACATGCTCCAAACCTTGAAGTCCTTCTAATAAGCTATTGTGATTCATTGGTTGAAGTTGTGAGTGCAGATTTTGGGACTGCTGACATTGAAAGAGTGAAAAGCAATCTATTTTCTAGTCTCACTTTTCTTAATTTGCGATTTCTGAGTAACTTAAGGAGCATTTGTAGAGTGGCATTACAGTTTCCTTGTTTGAAGGAGATTCATGTAGGAAAGTGCCACAATTTGAAGAAGCTCCCATTTAACTCTCAAAGTGCATTGAATAATCTACAACATTTTATTTTGGGATATGATGATGATCAGTGGTTGCGTGAATTGGAATGGGAAGACGAAGCAACCAAGCATCTTCTTTCATCAAAATATGAATGGTAATATTTCTGTCAAGTAAACGGAGTCAGTTAAAGGCTTTAGAGTAAAGTTATTCTCACTTTACAAATGCTAATGTTTTCTTATTGGTCACCTAAGCACTGCATGCATATAAATATTTATCATGAGATTATAATGACTGTGAATAATTTATTTTCCCAATATTTCATACGGATCGTTGCACTTGAATTTCACAGCATTTTAAAATTTCTAGAATTTTTAATTAAAGTACGCACAGTATATTTCTAAGCCGTTTTCAAGATCTAATATTTTTGTAAAATAGTAAATGATATTTGCGTACAAATTCTTTTTTATATATTTTAAAAAACTACATGTTTCTTTTTTGGTAACAAAATTGCATATATATTATTGCACGCACATATGTTAAATTATATATACAAATAATGAAATGATATTTTATTTTGAAAAGCAACACGTAAGATAAAATTTACAATAGACTAACGGGCATTAAATCAATCCCTAGGAAATTTATTGATTCATAGAATATAAAAAAGAAATATCAAAGCATTAATTATTCTTCTTAATCTGCTGCAGTAATTTTTTTTTTTTTATACCAATAGCCTTCGCTGATTAATTTTTTTCCCCCGCTAAACTTTGCATGCAGGCATGCAGCACCTGATTTATGGATGATGAGTACCATTTATTGATATTACAGCGCTACGTCGTTTGGGTTTCAATTGAATATGCATCATCAAGACATTAACTGCAATGATTAATATCTAATTTTCGAACGAAAATTAAGTATTTACTTTTATATATTCCTCCATTCTTTACTTTTATGAAGGGCACAAGTTTCTGTATGAACTTGCTATGTTATCTTGACATCAAGATATTTAATTTGCAGAGGTACTTATATAATCCAAATCAATCAACATGGCTAGAAGTACATGATTGATGAAAATATGGTTATTGTACCATTTTAGCGTTTAGGATCTCCAAATGGTTTTGACTGAAACATTTGTCTCACTCCTTTTCCTTTTTCTTTTTGTTTTTTTTTTCCTTTTTCATTTCTAAACATTTGTTTAGGCTCCGAAGGTTTAGAAGCTACTACGGAGAGTAGCATCGCCTCCTTGTAATATTGCCATATTAGGGACATGAATCAGTTGCATGACTTATTATTAATTAATTCTTTTTCATGCCTAGTTAAAACCATTAAGCTATTATATGCAATAAATTTATTAAAACCTATATATGGAATAAAATGATTTATCAAGTTTTCGAAATTTGGAATAATTAATTAGTTTGTTAATATAATTAAGGAAAAACTAGGTTGGAGATCTCTATAGTTTGCCTCAGTTTTCAATCAGGCCTTTTTTTCTCCCCTTTTGACTGGGTCATTTAAGTTGACACCGTTAAGTCGCTTAGTCCCTAAAATTAAAAACTGTTAAATAAATATTGACAGTATTACTGTTACTGTTAAATAATTTTATTGTATGTTTTTTTTCCATGGTAAATTTTTGTAGATTCATTCTGACCTCAAGTAAGTTACTGATGCTATAGCATAAGGCCCGCTCCCAGGTAATCTCTGCCGCTTCATATCCTACGGCCATCTACGGTTTCGCATTCGCACTGCCTCCTTTTCATAAAACTAAAATCTAATCCCCATTCACTTCCTCCACATAGTTTCCTTACCTAATGACTTTCTGGCAAACTATTTTCCTCTCTCCGATTAACCTTCGTCCAGTGTCCGATGAAAGCCTTGCGCTCAAAGCCATTTCCTTCTTCTCCTCCTACTCTTCAAGTTATTCCATGCTCCTATGCCTTTGGGAAAGTAAAGATTTCTCGCTGCTGCCCAAATTCTGATGAAGTTTTCCGTCTAGCTTCGGTGATGAGTTGCGATTTTGGACGATGGAAATTTTGCTTGATTCCTTGATTTTGTTTATGCATTTTCTACAGGTAATAGGTATAGTAGATGGTGACTGTAGTTTTCTTGTTTTAGTAGTCTCCTTGATTTTTCTGGAAGAGAAAAAAATTTTATCAATTCGATTTACACTGTGAATTTTGGCTCCACTGGTAATTGTGACACGGTTTTTTTTTTTGGGGTAAATTCATATCCATTGAGTTCAAAAAATGAAGTAAAACTGCACAAATTTAATACTTCTCTCTGCCGCATGCCCTCAACTAAGATCAAACCATTGATCTAGATTCCCGAAAGCTCAGGGAAGCAGTGGTTCGAACTTCGAAATGATTTTGGCGAAGCTAGTTTTGAAGTTGTGGCCAAGAAAGTTGTTTTTCTTTGACAACTAATCTCCAAGTGTGTTGAGGAATTTCTCATCGGAGAAACTCGAAGCCACCAACGAATACTCATCCAACAGAGATGGAGGACGATCGGAGTCCGAGCTAGGTTCACTTCGCTCGCCGAAAATGGTGCAGAATTTCAATGAGACAGATGAGAAATAGCCGTCGGCGGCTAAATGCAGCCATAATCGCTGCAATTTCTTCTATAGCAGAACGAAGGAGGAATGAACAGAGATATTGAGCAATGAACGAACAAAGAAGGAGGAAGGAGGGTTTTGGTGAAACTTTTGGGATTGTGGGGGGAAAGAGATAGATAACGGTCATTAGTTAAGGGACTAATAGATCTAATTGTGTAAAGTGAAAAGATCGATTCCTTTTTTTTTTTTTTTTTCGGTGGAGGGTTGGCGGGCATTAGGGACTAGATTCAAAACCGAGGCAAATTATAAGAACTTGTAAATTAGTTTTCCTTGTATATTAAACTCTATATACATAACACACATATATGCTAAGTTATATATAAAAATAATATAATGATATTTTATTTTGAAAAGCGGCACATAAGAGAAAATTTACAAAAGAGTACGGGCGATGATGTTGATTTTCTTAATTTCTGGGGATAATGACTCTTACATGTTCCACCTCTTGGAGCTGCATTAATTTGTTACTTCCTGGTGTCAATTATGTCTGTGAAACATATCCAACTTTGTTCTCTGATATCCAAGGTTCCTTGAGTCCAAGAAAGGCGGAAGCAATCCTATTTGACGTATGCCACATAATAAAATAAATCCCCTCTAACTTTTCTCCTGTTCTCCAATCCAATCGCGTCTAAGTGCTAAATTTCCAATATCAAGGCAGCAGCCAAGTGATTCAGACGGAAGCCTATTGGCAGCACCAAACTAGATGATAGGACTCCTGGAAAATTCAAGCTGACTTATTCTAGGAGGCAGAAACGTGGCAGCGAAGATTAAGGGATTCATGATTTAATGTTGCTGATTATTTATTTTATTTGTGATTTTTAAATTCCTATTTTCTTGGTTGGTTAGTTAGTTGCTAGATAAGTGGGATTAGCTCACTCAAATTTAGGAGCAGTACTTGAATTCGTTTCCACATTCTTCTCTCTGTAACCATTATAAATTGGCACCATGCCTTTGGAATAAGATCATGGAATATTTTCAGAGAGTATTACATTTTTGTGGGAGATCCTCCTAGGTCTATTCACAAGTGAGTGTGAGATCCTTGCCTTACTTGTCAGTAGAAGAATTTTTCTGTTTCTTTTTTCTGTTCTTTATCTTTATTATTTAAATCCTCTGATTCGGTCTCTACCAATTTGGCATCAGAGCCATGGTTGAAACCAGATCCTCACGCAACACGCTGCCACCGGAGAATCCGTTTGCCGGTGACCACGATCCCTTGAATACCATAGCTGCGCGTCTACAAACGCTGGAAGTTTTGGCAGACCGAGTGGCTAGCCTGGAAGCTGCAACTGATCGGAACCGAAGAAGAAGCTTCCAACGGTCACACTGGGAAGCCGATAGCGAAGATGACCCTGAATCAGCCCTTCGTCGCCACATGCCGTACACAAAAATTGACTTTCCAAAATTCAGCGGTGGAGACCCTAGAGGGTGGATCTTGAAAGCTGAGAAATATTTCAGGTACTACGAAACACCCGAGGAGATGAAAGTAGATGTTGCCTCAATGTATCTGGAAGGAGACGCTTTGGACCTATTTTCATGGATCAATACCGAGAGGACGCTTCTTTACTGGGATGAACTCGTGAAGATTTTACAGGAAAATTATGGGCCACCAGAGTACCAAAACCCAGATGAATACCTTTGTGGTATACGACAGACAGGAACGGTGCAGGATTACCGTGCTGAGTTTGCTCGACGATCTGCGCATGTGAGAAACTGGCCGGAACATTGCTTGTTAGGCGTCTTCATTAATGGCCTCAAAGAGGAGCTTAAGTCGGACGTCCGAATCCATAAGCCACGAACCGTGTATAAAGCCACCAGCCTTGCTATGGAATATGAGAAGAAGATGAAATCTGCTATTGGGCCTAAGCCCAATCACTATTCCAGGTTCAATCCACCGCCCTACAGCTCCAAAGACCTTAAGCCCAACTCAGCCAACACGAGCAGAACCATGGGTGCGTCAATTTCAGGCACCAAACCAGTCCCCTCGGCCGCGGCTCTCGAGCAACAACGAAGGAGGGAGAAAGGCCTATGCTACCGGTGCGGCGAGCCCTTCCGTCCAGGTCACCATTGTGCTGGGTCCTTCTCTTTAATGGAAATTGCTGAAGAGGGAGAGACCGTGATGCCTCCCCTAATTGAAGAGGTCGACGCCGAGGCAGAAGTGGCAGATGCTGAGATTTCCTTCAACGCTATACTGGGCAAAGCCTCTGCTTCCACCATGCGTTTACAAGGAACCCTTCGTGGCAGAGATGTTCTTGTATTGGTTGATAGTGGATCCACGCACAATTTTGTGTCAGATTCGATAGTGAATGAATTGAATCTTCCCGTACAGCAGGTGCAACCATTCGGAGTCCAGATTGGCAATGGTAGCACAGTTAAATGTCATCGAGTTTGCTCAGCTCTAGAGGTGAAAATTTCAGATTTAATCATCCAGCAAGACTTCTTCCCCTTCTCATTAGGTGGTACTGACTTGGTCTTGGGGATCAAATGGTTAGCTTCCTTGAACACAATTCAAGCTAATTGGAATGAAATGTTCATGATATTTTGGTTGAATGGGAGGAAATACAAGCTGCAAGGGGTGACTTCAAAGCCCAGGACGGAGGTACAGTTGCAAAGTTTGCTATTAACACATGATTCTGGAGAGGCCGAAGTGTTAAATGTTGAGACAGTATGCCACGAATTCTCAAAAGTCTTCGAGGAACCCTCTACCCTACCTCCTGCATGAGGTCAATACCACTCCATTCCCTTAAAGACAGATGCAAATCCGCCTAATTTGAGGCCCTATCGGTACCCCCACTCCCAGAAGAATGAGATTGAAGCCCAAGTCAATGATTTACTGAAACGCAGATTTATTCGTCCCAGCTCCAGCCCCTTTGCCAGTCCGTTTCTTTTGGTGAGCAAAAAGGATGGTTCTTAGCGCCTTTGCATTGATTACCGCCGTCTAAATCAAATCACCATTCCAGATAAGTACCCAATTCCCAATATTGATGAGTTGCTAGATGAATTACATGGAGCTGCGTACTTTTCTAAAATAGATTTAAGGTCCGGTTATCACCAGATACTTGTTCTGCCTTCTGATATTCATAAAACTGCTTTTCGTACTCACTCAGGGCATTACGAATTTGTAGTTATGCCATTTGGCCTTACTAATGCCCCGGCGACTTTTCAGTCAGTCATGAATGATTTATTCAGACCTTATCTAAGGAAGTTTGTGTTAGTCTTTTTCGATGATATCTTGGTGTACAGTTCCTCTGCGCAGCAGCACCTAGAACATCTTCAAGTTGTTCTGCAGATTTTACAGAAGCATTCCTTCTATGCTAATGCCAAAAAATGCTTCCTGGGACAAACCAGGATTGACTACCTAGGCCATATCGTTACAAGAAATGGAGTAGAGGTAGTTCCAGAAAAAATTGCAGCAATTATATCTTGGCCGTCCCCTTCAAATGTTAAGGAGCTGCGGGGTTTTTTGGGACTCACAGGCTATTACCGGCGTTTCGTGAAAAATTATGGGCTGATAGCACGACCGTTGACGGAATTGACCAAGAAGAATGCTTTCTCATGGTCAGGACGAGCTCAGTCTGCATTTGATGCTCTTAAGGAGGCTTTGACTACAGCACCAGTCTTAAGATTGCCTGACTTCAATCTACCTTTTATGATTGAATGTGATGCTTCCATGGATGGGATAGGGGCAGTCCTTATTCAAGAAGGGCATCCGATAGCCTATTTCAGCAAGGGTTTCTCCATTTCAAACAGATTTAAGTCAGCCTATGATAGGGAGTTGTTGGCATTAGTACTGGCCATTCAAAAATGGAAGCACTACCTTCTGGGACACCATTTTACTATACAGACGGATCACTGCAGCCTCAAACACCTGCTAGAACAGAAGATTGTGACCAACACCCAACAGAGGTTGCTCATTAAATTACTACCATTCAATTTTTCCATTGTGTATAAATCTGGGAAGCATAATGCAGCTGCTGACTCTCTTTCTAGAAGACCCCAACCAACTGAATTCTTCCAATTAGTAGTCCCTATGGTGGATGATTTGGCACGCCTTCCTCAGGCCTTACTAGATGATCCGGACACCAAGGCCATAATAGACGACCTGCAGCAAGCGCCTAATTCAACTTCTGATTATAATATGGTAAGTGGCAGATTATATTATAAATCAAGGCTGGTCATACCCAACCAAGCTGATCTACGTGACAAACTGGTAAAGGAAGCACATGCCACCCCTACCGGAGGCCATGGGGGCTATCTCAAAACATTAAAGAGGCTGAGTGCTCATCTACACTGGAGGGGCATGAAACAGGATGTCAAACATTTTATATAGAGGTGTTCTAGCTGCCAGCAGAACAAATACCAAACTCTAGCACCTGCAGGACTCCTCCAGCCTCTCCCTGTTCCAGAACAGATTTGGGAAGACATATCACTTGATTTCATTACTGGTCTCCCCAAGTCTAAGGGCTTTGATGTGATATTCGTAGTGGTGGACAGATTAAGCAAATATGTTCACTTCATGGCCTTGTCACACCCTTATACTGCTAAAGCAGTAGCTCAGTTGTTCTGCAAAGAAGTAGTCCGTCTGCACGGAATGCCCCGCTCCATTGTCTCTGATCGAGATTCTCTTTTCCTAAGCATGTTTTGGCAAGAGTTATTTCGTTTGAGCAAAACTCATTTAAATATGAGCACTGCATACCATCCCCAATCCGATGGTCAAACAGAGGTGGTAAACCGTTGTCTTGAAACTTACTTAAGGTGTTTTACTCATGAACAACCAAAAAAATGGAGTGAATTTCTATGTTGGGCTGAGTACTCCTTCAACACAAGTTACCATGTTGCTGCGGACAACACCCCATTCAAGCTTGTATATGGAAGGGAACCGCCCCCACTAGTTCCCTACGTCAAGGGTGAGACTGCAGTAGCGGACTTGGAAGAACAACTAGAACTTCGGGATGACATGCTGAAGGTTTTGCGTGAAAACCTACTCAAAGCACAGAACCGCATGAAGATACAAGCTGATCGCCACCGCCGCGACTTGCAATTTGCACCAGGGGATGCAGTATGGTTAAGACTTCAGCCTTATCGCCAAAAATCATTATCCAAGAGGCGGTTTGACAAGCTGTCACCCAGATTTTTCGGTCCCTACAAGGTCCTTCGTCGCATTGGGAATGTAGCCTATGAATTAGAGCTCCCACCTGCGGCAAAAATTCACCCCATATTCCATGTCTCCCTTTTACGACCTGCTTTGGGGCAAGACTTACCTTCAGTTCCAGCACCGCTGCCTTTATCTTCAAATATGGAATTACTGCTCACTCCTTCACAAGTGCTGCAGCATCGCTGGACAACCCACGGGATCCTGGAATTATTAGTACAATGGACAGATAAACCGATCGAAGAAGCCACTTGGGAAGATTATGATTTGCTTGCTGCACAATTTCCTCAGTTCCGACTTGAGGACAAGTCGTTTTTCCGGGAGGGAAGTAATGATAGGACTCCTGGAAAATTCAAGCTGACTTATTCTAGGAGGCAGAAACGTGGCAGCGAAGATTAAGGGATTCATGATTTAATGTTGCTGATTATTTATTTTATTTGTGATTTTTAAATTCCTATTTTCTTGGTTGGTTAGTTAGTTGCTAGATAAGTGGGATTAGCTCACTCAAATTTAGGAGCAGTACTTGAATTCGTTTCCACATTCTTCTCTCTGTAACCATTATAAATTGGCACCATGCCTTTGGAATAAGATCATGGAATATTTTCAGAGAGTATTACATTTTTGTGGGAGATCCTCCTAGGTCTATTCACAAGTGAGTGTGAGATCCTTGCCTTACTTGTCAGTAGAAGAATTTTTCTGTTTCTTTTTCTGTTCTTTATCTTTATTATTTAAATCCTCTGATTCGGTCTCTACCACTAGAACTAACAAAATACAACAGAACAAAAAAAATACATACAGGTATTCATTAGAAAAGAATAAATCATACCGTGCAATTGAAGGACCAAAATGGAAACTAGATTAATGATAAATGAAGGTACACGTCAGATTTACAAGTATCTAAATGTACAAAGAGATGTCTGTTTGCTCATGTAGTCACAAAATCTCCTGACATAATAGCTAACAATGAATACCTGGCCTTGATGGAGATTTTGCCTCCCTCTATACAGAGTTTGGCTCCAGTGACCACCCAATATCCAGGCGTGTCTTCTGGACCCCTGACCTTTTCCTTCGTATCCACAAAGCTGAGCATTTCTGGGGCCTTTATCGGAACAGGTGCCTCAGTACCAGACTCACCATTATAAACTATCGGTTTTATGCTATCTTCAGTCGGCTTTTCATTCTCAATCACGTGATGCAGTTCCTTGGTTAGCATTGTGCTCATCAATGCTGAAAAGAACCCTGACTTTCGAAATGGAAACGGAGATCCATCCCATTCTGATCTGTAAATTTCTGCTGATTCTACCAGGGAAAATCCAAGCCTCAAGAATAGAACTTTTCTCCTTTTCACATGCTTGACCTCAAGCCAGGCCTTCGTTACAATGGCTGGGGGCTCATCATCAAGGGAACTATTGTACAATACTGGCGCTGTGCAGACATGTGAAAACCTTTTCCACTTCACAGGTTCAAAGTAGGCTTTGTCAACTGGCTCTTCATTAGATTCACAACCCATATCATAAGAGATTTTAAGGATTTGTGGAAGATTTGAAAGATGCTGGAGATGGATAGCCAGATGGTCACTCTTTCTGCCTTCCAAGAACAAGCGAATACCTGTAACAGGACAATATCCAGAGTCAACCTGCATATTTGTAAAGTTAAAAGGCAGAATGTCAGGTATTATTGAAAAGTAATGAAAAATAGATGCAAAATGATGCCTATACTCCTACTTAATAATAATAATAACGATAATAATAATAATCATCATCATCATCATCATCATGACAAACAATGTTTACTAATACCAATAAAGATATAACGAACACTAATTAAGAAGTAAAAATCAACCTTGTTTTCCATGATTACCTTCCTTTCCGTACACCAAACATGGCTTTGAAAATGTTTGCGGAGGAAAACTAAGCATGTAACGAGACCGCAAACAATCTTAAGAGTGAACCTTTCTACATTGCTTGGTGGTGTATGTGGAATTGCCGCAATGGTAAAGCAAAGACAAAATACATGAATACAATGTGATTTTTCCCCTCCTCTTTTAATGTAGGCTTATGCAACTTTCATTTCAGACTTTAAATAATGTAATAACAAATTACCTTTATGGTGTTAACATAAAGCTTGGATCCGAACAAGGTGAACTGGAGTGATGGCGCTTTGTTCTTTTGGCACCTAGGACGAAATCCATGAAGCACATCATCATACAGTGGAGACCATTGCCGAGGCAACTGAAATTCAAGAAATTGACGAAGTTCATCTATGTGGGGTTTATCTGCATCAAATAAAAACTCATTTAACACCCACACTAGATAAACCACATTTTTTGAATCCGTATGTAAGATTATTCTTATCTTAACTGCAGTATCAAAAATCAATGAATCCTCAATGGCTTAATCAGAATGTTTCAGAACAACTCTAGATGAATTTACATGAATTTATTTGAGATTGCTCTCATCAAATAATCTAAAATATGTTAATGGATGGGAAGTTTAATGCTTCCAAGGAATCAGGTCAGAACGTATATAGGAGTGAATGTGAAAGAATTGCAAATGAGTAATCACTATACGCATGCTCGCTAGGATGTTAATGGATAATGCTCCCCTAGTTGCATTCTACCCTTGAAAAACATTTCCGTCTCAAATATAGAATCAAATGCCATGCCAAAAGTTTAATCTTTACTCACAATAATCTCATTTTCCATCCTCCTAGAACAAAGACTAACTGGTCAAAATCAAAACCTTTCCACTTATCCTTCCAAGCCAGAGGTTTCAATGGTTCCAAGACACATGATAGATAAGGACAAGTTACATAATATCAGACTTGCTGAAATGCAGAGAAAATAGACCACACTAACTTAAGCAATAATAATGTCAACTGAAATTGAAGATAGTATATAGAGATTGAAATTGGCATCAAGAAATGTGTACACACATCTGAGATACAAACTCATTGCATGGCTTAGGAACCCATGGCCCAGACTGGAACTAAGCAGTGAAGTAATAGGCACAAACAGCATTGATATGGCCTCAGGTGACTGTGATATGGTAGAAAGCCACTCCTTATGGTGCTGGTGAATGCCAACAACACCACCCCTTCGAACAGAAATGCTTATGAGATCCTGTTGGAAGTATATTCAAATAACAGCCCAAATGTGATAACAGCAAGATGGTTGCTTGATGCATTGAAGAAGCAATAACAGTTGAAACTAATACCAACCTCCTTGGTTGAGTGACTTTTTACAATTGGTCTAACTGCTGCAGCAAGAGCTACATCAACCTTCCATGGCTCATCTCCATCATCCTGCAAAGATTACAGAAAACATTTTTAGACAAGTAGAACATTTCACATAGTCTTTAAAATTTTAATATTCAAGTAACTACAAATTGATTTCTTCCCTGCCTGTTATGTTTAATATTGAAAATTGTTCTTGAACGAACGAACGAACGGACACACGCATGACACACGACGCATGACGCAAGCACGCACGCACACAAAAATTATAGCAAACTAGCGTAGTCTTATTATCAACAAATCAATTTATGAAGAAAATATCAACATATTTCCCATTCCCATTCACCACAATGGTTCCTGGTAATTAAGATGAAATTCATAGTGTTACTATCAGTAAAAGCAAGAAGAAAAAAGGGTAAAACTGCATACCATTGAGAGAGAGAGAGAGAGAGAGAGAGAGAGAGAGAGACGAGATGAAATTGTTTCATTAAATTCAGAATGCTAAACTCACACTTATAATGGTTCTGAATCATGAACAGAAGCAATAAAAGAAAAGTTACGTGTGAGGAAACTCAGATAAATGTGCAGGTAGACTATTTGTATTTAAAACTTAATTTTGGTAATAAGGTCAAGAAGAAAGGCTTGTGCATGGCATATTTTCCACATTATATATAATCCTCTTTAGACAGCTAAAAACAATGGTGATGCATTTAATCTTCTGAACCTTGAATGTTACTGATATTCCAGCTTGATCAGAGCCGGAACATGCATCTCTGTCTTCAGAAAACCTCTTATCAGCTTCTTTCTTAAGCAATCTCTGCACTTCAGTGGGTTGAAGATGTGAGCTTTTGAACTGCTTCATATGAACCACATCCTTACCTCCCATCTTCACCCCAACAACAACATGGGTGCCATATTTCTCAATGAACCTGAAGAATTATGTCTTATTCAGCGTACCATTCAGGTGAAAGAAACCTAAAAATTTTCTATGGATGAAAGATAAGAAAAAGTAGGTTCAAAACTCTCTAGACTGCTAGCATCTTAAATATCTATATCTATGATGCTAGTCTTCCTAGCAAGAGCTTACAGTTTATTGACTTTCATGCAATATAAGTTTGAGTAAATTATCAATGATCAATTGTTACAGTCAGATTTTGAAAGTAAACCCCATCAGGTTGCAGGTCTATTAAAAGAATTTCCTGAAGGTATCAAACTGAATTTCCATGATTACACATAATAGATTCTGCGGTCACATCAGAAATAATCTTATTCAAACAAAGGTTTATTACAAAAACAACAACAACAAAAGTAAAAATAATAACAATCAACTACAGTAGTAGTAGAAATCAAATGAATGAATGAATGAAAGTATAAAAAGAAGGGGAAAAAAAAACAAATATACTTACTCAGCAAGGGCAGCAGGGTTCCATGAAGTAGGCACTTGGTTTTTCACATGCTCAGAGAGGGTTAGGTGGGCTCTATCTAACTCAACACTATACAAAGTTAGGAACCAACCATCAAATGCAAGGGTTTTAGTAGAACCTGCATCTTTCTTCCAACTGCCCCTCATGTCAAACATGGCATTGAATAAGCCAGACGGAACCTTCCCAGATAAAGATAGTGCTAAATTAAATTGTTCAGACATCTGCAACAGGGCAAATTTGGAAGTATTTCCATGACTCAAATTGCACCAAATGTAGATATGAAGATATGTGTTATGTGCATGTTAGTCGATCAGGTATATCTCTCAAAAATTACAATTGTACGAACGTGGTTTCATGCAAGTGTAAACTAGAAAGTTAAATGATTTTCATTTTTGAAATCATATATGGATGCTAAAACAAAATCAGAGGTAATAGTAGCGCATGGTTCTTCAACGAAAAAATAATACACATAAGAGACCATTTTTTTTCCAATTGGAAAGCTTGAGCAATTACTTGACATCCTTCAACCTCAATCTAGTTAGAGATTTAATGTATCCATAAATTACTTCCCTTTAGTTTCAGTGTCTATTAGGAACTTGTTATCAATCATTACCTAGTCTTTTCTATTACTTCTTTCACAGTTACAAGTGTCGTTTACTGCCTCCAACGTTACCACTCTTTTTTCAATTTTATTTCATTCTATTATATCTACTAAACGTTTACGTGGATTAAGCCAAAATT